TGTGTGTGTGTGTGTGTGTGTGTGTGTGTGTGTGTGTGTGTGTGTGTGTTTTCAGATCGCCCAGCTGGATGAGGTGAAGATCCGTATCAGTGCTCTGCGGGCCGTCATCGACCTGCTGCTGCTGTTCGGCTTCCAGCTGCTCTCTGAAACAGCTGCCACTCAGACGGCCCCGCAATCCCAATCACCAGACCGGCAAGAGGAGGATGCTGCAGCGGGCGAGGAGAAGGGAGACGCTCCAGAGGACACGGCACAGAGTATCCTCGTGATGCTGTCAGAGTTCCTGGACAGCGAGGTGAGATGTTTACTCAATAAACAGAAGTATGCATCTAGTTACCTGGAAGTGAAGTAGCCGAAGATGGTTTTATTGGACTATGTGCTTCCAGGTGTCTGACCTGCGCACAGAGACGGCAGAGGGCCTGGCCAAGCTCATGTACACCGGCCGTATCTCCAGTGCCAAGATGCTGTCCCGCCTGGTGCTGCTGTGGTACAACCCCGTCACAGAGGACGACACCCGACTACGCCACTGCCTCGGCGTCTTCTTCCAGCTCTACGCCCGCGAGAGCAGGTCTCACATACACAAGCCAGCCATGATGATCTCATTTATCTATTAGGATTACTTGCCTCGGTGAATTTATTGGTTATGCTATATAAACTAATATCAAGTCGGTATATCATACAAAATGTCCTAAAAAAAAAAAGTCCCCAAAAATATCAGTGTAGTAAATGATGATTTATTTTGTCATAATATAGTGTGTAATGTTAAGATATTTTTGTAATTCATAATAAAGTATGTCATAAAGTCATACTTTACTATGTCATAAAAAAGTCATAGTAGTAAAATTCATAGTATAGTGTGTAGTATATAGTAGTAAAGGTCCTAGTATAGTGTGTAGTATATAGTAGTAAAGGTCCTAGTATAGTGTGTAGTATATAGTAGTAAAGGTCCTAGTGTAGTGTGTAGTATATAGTAGTAAAGGTCCTAGTGTAGTATATAGTAGTAAAAGTCCTAGTGTAGTGTGTAGTATATAGTAGTAAAGGTCCTAGTGTAGTGTGTAATATATAGTAGTAAAAGTCCTAGTGTAGTATATAGTAGTAAAAGTCCTAGTGTAGTGTGTAGTATATAGTAGTAAAAGTCCTAGTGTAGTATATAGTAGTAAAAGTCCTAGTGTAGTGTGTAGTATATAGTAGTAAAAGTCTTGGTGGTCATCAGGGTTCACCAGGAGGTGGTGGAGGAGGGCTTCCTGCCGACCGTCCGGACTCTGATGAACGCCCCGGCCACCTCTCCACTAGCTGAGGTGGATATTAACAACGTGGTGGAGCTACTTGTCGAGCTGACCCGTCCAAGTGCTCTCATTAAGCCCTCAACCAACACAGAGGTAAGGAACCACTCTGAACTCCCAAAACTCAGTGATCCATCCGGCTATTCTCCTGAGACGTCTTTGTGTTTTTATTGGCCTTCTGAGCTTCTCAGCACGTTGCTTTCTTCCCACAAATGCATATTAACTCCTTCTTTGCATAAATGAAGTTTTTAAACTGTTCTCCTGACTGCTCCAGTTCACAATTGTTCAATAAGCTCTTAAGCCGCTGAATGAGGCAGCAACACATAGAGGTGACTGAGTGCATGTGTCTGCAGGAGGTGTGTGTCCATGACTACTTGGCGGTGCGTCTGTGCGGGGAGATGCTGAAGGACCCCAGCGCCCCGGAGGTGCGTCTCTACGCCAAGACTCTGAGCAACCTGGAGCTCAGCAGAGACGAAACCGTCAGGAAGGACCTGCAGACGCTGCTGCAGCAGCTCGTTCAGGTGCACAGTCACACGGGCAGCTGAAGCTAAATGCTAACAAGTTTACCGTGTTAACTGTTCATTTAGCATGCTAGTTAGCACCAAACACAAAGAACAGCTGAGGCGGGTGGGACTGTGATGAGCTTTGCAAGTATTTCATCGTAAACCAGAGTATTGTGCACATTGAAATTGTTTATCTGACGATGACGCTAGATGAAAAGTTACGGGATTTGCTGAACTCATTACAATTCTTTCAGAGGAGAACATTAAATGTGCGAAGCAAATTTCATGGCAATCCATCAAATAGACGAGACGTTTCACTCCAAACCACAAACGTCAACCTCATGGTGGCGCTAAAGGAAATGTCTGGGGATCACCACCATATGAATCCATTGAACCATTGTTGAGATATTTCAGTCTGGACCAGCAGAATGACATCGTCCCCCCTTAAGGCCTCAAACCCTGAACCCTCAGGGACTTACTGACGTCACCTGTTAAATCGTAGAGTGAGGGGATGAAATGGTGTAGATGGGAATGGGACAGCACTTTGCTGCAACATATCAAGTTAACATGACAGCGTCATAGCATGTTATGTATAATTGTGGGAATTTATTTTATTTTTTTACTCCCCGATTTCAACGTCTTACAGGGTTGCCTATGGAGATGAGGTGATTGTAATCTATAATCTGATTTCCTCATTTTTGCAAAAACGGCTTCAATACTAAATTAATCTTTAATCCTTGATTTTTTTGAGTAAATTTAATATTCTATTCAATTCATTTTTGTATAGCCCAAAAATCACAAATTTGCCCCATTGGGCTTTATTCCAGGCTGAACATCCATGGATGTGCCGTCCTCTTTTACATCTCCATGCTTCCACTGGTAACCCTATGTGTTAACGTCACATTGCTATGAATTGTGGGTAATTCCCATGGGCAAAGTTTGCAGAAATGCTGACTTGCAGAAAGTGTTCATAAAGGGCACAAAATGAGTGTGGAGATTGTTATTGGGCCATACCCCCCGTACTGCTTCATATATCTATGTATCTGCCTCTTTAAGGCCCGATGTTTCATGTCCTTTTCCTCTCAGGTGGTGAAGGATCGCGTCTGTCTCCGTGCTCTGGAGAAAATGGTTCATCAGCTAGTGGACGCAAGAGAACAGGCCGAGCTCCTCAGCGCCAGCGCTCTGCAACCGCTGGACGTCAACGCAGACGGTACGCACGCAAGAACAACCGACGTCCCGCTGAACATCTGTAACTAATGTCTCCCTGGTACTCTTCTTACTAGATCTGCAAACTGTTCTGTCTTTATCTGTCCACAGAGGCTTCAACAGACGACCCATCTAAATCTGCCAAGAGAGCCAAAAGAGGTACTGCAGGTTCTGAACACTCGTCTGAGAAACTGTAGTTGCTCATAGAGCCACTTAATTGTTCGAGCTCTTATTGTTTAGAGTCAAAGAGTGGACTCTGCACTGTGAGGTAACCCGAGCGTTTGTGTGCACAGGTCAGAGGAAAGTCTACTCAGCCAAAGCGGGCAGGAGGCCGAGCAGGAGGGCCGAGTCATCAGAGGAGAGGTGAGGGAACACACGACATCCACGACGCGTACATTATTCCATTGCTTTATTTTCACATTCTCATATTCATCTGCTGGTTTTTGTTTTGGCCACAGCGATGGAGAAAATGTTCCAGAGTCGGTTCCCGTGGTGCGTCCCTCGCGGAGGGCCAAGACTGCAGCTCTGGAGAAGACCAAGCTGGACCTCAACACCCTCATCAACCAGGAGGCCAACGTGTCCTAGAAGTCTGCTTCTAAACAGCTGATGCTCAAGTGCTTCAGTCTAATATAATTCACAAATACTTCAATAACGTGGAGCTAGTTACTTACTTTTATCGTCAGTCAGTAAATAGCATTGATCCTACTCTGACTTGGAGCCCTTACAAAGGGGTCCCCTCTTTTATATCTTATATTTCCTTTTAGTTCAAAGTTTTGTCATTTTATACGTCAATAAAAGCTCGTTCCCAACCTCGTTGGCTCTGTACGTTCAACCAAAGATGTGCGTTTCCTCTCCGATTGTTTGCAAATCTTACTACACTACTCAAAGATTTAAAAGGTACAGATGTAATTTAAATATTTTATAGTGCATGGTTTTATTTTTTATTTCAGACATTATCTAAGAACACCATACAAACATATGAAAACATCTTTAGCACCAAGTCGACATTTATTTGCCACCAATGTTCTAATAACTTGTGGGCTGCCCCTCCCAACAACAAGGTGACCCTCTTGATCTGTATGATGTATTGGGCTGCGTTCTGACATCCTTCAACTATGGTGTTACGGTTCTGAACATTATCTGGACGACGTTCTCTGCTCTCACACTGGACAGACCGGCCCGTCCATCAAAGACATTCCTTCGTCCTCCAGGAAGGTCGTGGACTGAATGTAATCGCAGGAGACCTCCAGCTATGAGCCACAGACATAACTAACTAAATTGTATGGTAGACCAGATGTGCTATTGTAAAAAACATTTGATTATTTTTGTGAGTAGTGTGTACTCCACCATGGAAATGGTGCGGGCTGTGGTTTTTATTGAAATGTCACTGTAAATCAAACTCATCGCTGGTTATTTCAAAAGACTCTTTATTGTTCCAATCACAGACGCCTCTTTGTTGCATCTGTAATCGACAGTATATAAAAACACAAAGAAAATATACAACAGATGTTTAGCACCAGGTTCTTCAACAGAGAGCTGATCACAAAGACTGGGCCGCCCCCAGATCCCTCCTGTTGAAATGGCAACCATAGCAACACACACAAGACACACTACAGGTTTAGGTTTTGACCTTCAGCCAGACATCTTGGATCTACTTTCCCTCTAACGTGATGCCGATCCAAGGTTAGTGTTAACGGATCATCTCTCTCGCTCTGTCTATCACATGGTTGATATTTTAAAGAGCAGTGGGCCTAGCTGGGCCCCAGTGGAGGTACGCGTCTCGCTGAAACAAACTCTAGGGAAACCTAAACAGCAACACGGTTCCCACCTGCATTTAAACAGTAAATAATGCTAGTACGTTTATGAAAAACTATTTAATGCTATTAGAACAATTAGGGATCTGTTATTTTTCTGCTTCCATGAGGAGAACAAAGCAGGTGGGAAAAAAGGGCAATATCTTTTAAGATCACATTACATGGCTATGAAAAAAAAAAAAAAACTGAAGTAACATCCCAGGCCATCGGTACTCGTGTACATCCATTCATCTGTCAGAAATAAAATAATTACTACATATGGATAAATCATCTGGGATTGTATTGCACCAAATCGATTCTCTAGTTTTACAGTAGGGTTTGGTAGTGGGACACGGGATGTGCAAAATATGGGGAAGGAATCTGTGTAGTGGGGTTAATAATCTCAGATGGGATAAGTGCAAGAAGTAGATCCGACACCAACATACAGTATCTGCTTTGGGTGAAAACGAGAAGATACAAAGATAAACAAGACGGATCCCACAAACCAACTAATGAATCAGGTTCTACTCTCTGCCTTCCTCATCGCTTCACGTGCACCTCTACATTTTGTGGGGCTGAATACGTAGTCACTCAGAACGTTGGGGTTATCCGCTGTTTGGTGCCAACACTTAAAGATGTTTGAATGACATTAACTATTTGGTTTTACTACAGCTGGATGGCCAATTACTGTAGTTCAATACACCATGCTAAAGTTTGGGCCCATACACAAATTGTGATTAAGGTGAAAGATGGGGCTTGGTTGATACAAAAGAGTCCTTCATTCACACCACGGTTTTGGCTACTGGCTTGCAATACAACAGTGACTGAAGCCTCAAAGAAAAATATGGCAAGCAAGGGTCGGATTGAGAGATTGTTATTCAATTTCAATATAATTTGGTCAAATTTAAAAGCAATTATAAAGAGCAATTTAGAATTTAAACAGTGCCAAAGTAAGGGTGACTATAAATTACATTTTTTTTAAATGTATTAAATTAATTCTGTGGGATTTTAGGGCTGTGCATTTGTATGGTTTCATGTTAAGATTTACATTAAAAGGTCACTGCCCGATGGCCTTGATAATGAGGTATATTTTGGGGGAGATGGCACCGTCTTTCCATACAGCCACTCTGACCGGGCTCACGGTAAAAGCAATGATCCCAATAAAACTCTGACGTAATGATTTGATCTACTAATGCGTTCGGAAAGACAAAGGCAGGTTTACGATTAAAAAAATCTGACATTTCTGTACATACATATCCATGGATAAAAATAGTGCAACATCAAGCATTTGTTAAGTTAGACTGCTACATAATTGCTGAGTGTAAGACTTAACCATAGCGGGCTGGTCAGTCCACGTGGTCAGCTCAATGTCCAAAGGCACCACGTTGAACCACAGTCCCTTTCCCAGGTCGGAGGCTTCATGCTTCATTTAGGTTTCTGTCAGAAAAGAAAGAGCACAACTTGATTTTGCGATGATTTGAGATTAAAGTTTGATAAAAGTTGATACTTAATAAAAGAGAGGTAGTTACCAAACACAAAGTCGCGCCACCGTGGCCCGGTTAGGCCCCTCATACGCGATTGTCTCAACCTCTTCGCTGGTGGTGGTTGCGGTGATTCAGTAGACACAACCCCAGGACTTTTGTATTTGCCTTTCTGCCTCCCCGCTGGCATCTCATCCGGCTCCTGGACTGATTTCGGTTCGGAACTTGCTAGCTCCCTTGGGGCGGTGCTCCTTTTTCTTTCAGTTTTCACAGCTTTAACAACTCCTACCAGTTCTCTTTCTCTTCCTGCAAAGAGGTATGCGGAAGGTGACCCGTCATCCAGTTTTACGGTACAGGAGTCCCACTCTTCCTCAGTTGACTCGTTGTCTGGAGAGTTGATCTTCCTCAGAAACACCCGGCATTCCTTCAGTGTCTCGGGACTCCAGGCTTTAGAGCAGAGGTTCTGCTCTTTGGTTACATCCTCAGGCTCCCGAGTTTGGTCAACAGAACTGTTCTCCAAACAGTCAGACAACTGATCTTTTGCTGATCTGCGCAATGACTTACGTTTTGGTTGTGGTCCAGTCACTACATGTCCATTGGAACAAGGTGTAGCTACTTGCATGTTTTTCTTATTCCTTCGCCTCTGTCGCCACCTCTCCCTTTCGTTTCGGGTTAGGAACCTCGTCTTTGCTCTACGTAGAGTGGTCCGGTATTTGCCAAATACTCTTCTCTGCAACTGGGCTCCTTGACTGAGCCTGCCTGTTGCAAACGTGGGAGCAAAAAGTTGTCGCCTGATCTTGTGCATTGGCAGAGGCGCCTCATTTCTCTCCCTCAACCTGTTTTGAGCCTGTTGGTGTTGCAAAGGACTTTTTGGCACAGTTTTAGCAAATTTCTTGATGTGTTTGTGGAGTCGCTCTGCCTGAGGGCTGTGGCAAGCACTGTTATTATTGGCAGAACGAGGGAAGTGCATGAGTTCGTAAGGATTACGGGAGCTTGTCTTCTTGACAATAGCCAGAGACTGCGTCTCTGTGGTCTGCATGAACCAGGAGCAGAGCTGCTGCATGCTGCAGGACCTTGGTTTGTCAGGAGGACAGTCAAACAGCATTCGGATAGAGGAATGTTTGGAAGTCGTGGTACATGAACTGTTGCCTTTAGTGCCTAGATTTGATTTAAAGGCAGTTTCTTTTCCTTGGTTCTCCACAGTGTTTGAGACCCAAGTGTCAGAGATGAGTCGTATTCGCCTGGCAAGCTCTTGGTTCATAGTCGGTTCCTCGGGTGATGCCGCCCACCACCTCAGTGTCTCTTTTGGGGTAAAGATGGAGTCCACAGACACCCCTGCCACTCTGCTCAGGTCCTGAGAGATGTTGTTCCTTTCTTGTCCGCAGAGCCGTCTTTTCTCCCTCGGCGTCTCTCCACTACTCAGTTGCTCCCCCTGTCTCCTCTCATTGCTGGCCTTGTTTAGCAGGAGTTTTTTGGAGCGCCGTAGCAGAGCATTGCTGTGGCTGTATGATCTAGAGGTGGCAACAGCGTGCAGGAAGTGGATCGAGGGCTTCCTCACTCTCATTGAGTGACGCACTGCTACCGGCTGATTTTGCGGCTGGCCTTTACTTTCATCCTCTGTTTCAACTCCTTCTGTTTGACGGATTTTGCTTGTTGACTGACGACTGATTGTCCAGGGCTCTTTGGCAGATTTGAAATCTGGTAGGAGAACTTTTCTATGAATTTGTGTTTCCGGAGACTGCAGAGTATCCTTATTTATCTGAATTTTACGCTGCCGAGGCGACACTGTGGTTACTGTGACTGAGATCCCAGAGATTTTAACTTTTGCAGGTCTACCTGGTTTCCTTGAGGGTGCAGAATCATCCCTCTTCTGACATTTGATGTTACTGCTAGATTGAGGGGCAGACTCTTTTACAGGACCGACTAAATTTAATTCCTCGGGAGATTCTGTTGAGGCTGCTTTGACATCACCTGAGCTTGTCTTAGAGTTGTGCATTAAAATGCCCAAGTCACCTTTTAGGCCCACTGCTTGCCAAGCATCATGGAATTCTGTTTGCAGCTGGTCAAAGCCCTCAGACACCATACGTTTGTTGGCGTTGTTTCGCCTTGAACGGCCATACACTACTGTTATTTTAAGGTTCTTGTTTACATTCTCCTCAACTTCAGACGCTACAACAGATTTTCCATCGACCGTGTTTGCCCCCATTACTGAATCCACAGCCTTCTCCTTACGTGGTCGACCAATTGGCCTCTTTACCTTTTGCTCAAGCTGTGGTCCCAGCTTCTTGGGCCGGCCCGGACGCCTTTTTGGAGTGGTTTCATGGAAAGACATCGAGTCACCTGGTGATCTCTGGCTCTCAGCTCCAGCTAGACGCTTAGTTGGAGTACCTTCGCCCGATCTTCTGGTGCCTATTTTAGGTGATGACGAAGCTGACTTGGGCGAAGATTTGGCTGGCGAGGAAGAAGACTTGGGTGATGAAGCTGACTTGGGTGATGAAGAAGCTGACTTGGGTGATGAAGAAGCTGACTTGGGTGGTGAAGAAGCTGACTTGGGTGGTGAAGAAGCTGACTTGGGTGATGAAGAAGTTGACTTGGGTGATGAAGAAGTTGACTTGGGTGATGAAGAAGTTGACTTGGGTGATGAAGAAGTTGACTTGGATGATGAAGAAGCTGACTTGGGTGATGAAGAAGCTGACTTGGGTGATGAAGAAGCTGACTTGGGTGATGAAGAAGCTGACTTGGGTGATGAAACTGACTTGGCTGGTGAAGAAGTTGACTTGGCTGGCGTAAACGCTGACTTGGGTGATGAAGACGCAGACTTGGGTGATGAAGACGCAGACTTGGGTGATGAAGAGGCTGATTTTGATGATGAAAAAGCTGACTTGGGTGATGAAGGGGCTGACTTGGGCTTGGGTGTTGAAGAAGTAGATCTTGCAGGTGAGCTAGCAGACTTTAGTGATGCAGAAACAGATTTTACTTGTAAAGTGACCGGCTCAGTTCTCTGGCTTTCTTGTTTCTCAAGTGTCCCTGACCATGAAGACTCTATACACGGGTCAAAGGGTTCCTGTGTACTAGAACCTGAATATGCTGACTTGAGACTGTATCTCAGCCCTTCCTTATCCTTTACTGGTGAAAAAAACATGAGCTTTATCGGACTAGTGTACTTGACTTGGGAGTTGGGAAGGCTCTCGACACAGGTAGCAGACGTCATGGTGACATCCGTATTTGATGGGTCTTGGGGAGTTCTTGAAGTTGCCTTTGAGCCCTGTAGTCTTTTTAGAGATGACCGAAGCCTGTCATCTGTCTTATCGTCCGGGCTCTGTTTTGTAGGACTCTTGTCTTTGGCAGCTGCAGTTTGTGGAAAGACCTGGTTTGTAGAGAGACCTTTTGACTCTGTGTGGGATGGCCCACATTGTTCTCCATGTGTTGATTCAAAGGTAAGCTTCCATGTGTGCTCAGGTGAGGACAGAGTGGCTTCACTTCTTGATTCAAACTGGGTGTCCTCAGCCTCTGGATCTTTGGATAAGGCACCCAGGAAGCTAGATGTCAAAACCTCGTCCTTTTCTGTTCCCTGGTTAAAGTCCCTGCTTTCAGGGAAACATGCAACACTGTGCTTCTTCCAGGAATCTGTGATATAAGAGGAGAACCACTGTGGGGGCACTATATTCCTACTGGATCTCCTTGTGTCCTCTGAGTGTTGTGGTTGACATTTCTGCCCATCTCTAATAGAACTATGGCAACCTTTACCTTTACCTGGTCTATTGTCACTGTCAGGGCTTTGACCAGGTGGGGCTTCTTCATGGTTCCCATCTCCCTCAGGTCCACTACCTATACTGTCTTCTTTACAGGGCCTGCTACACTCTTTTGCCGGGGTTGCACTCACTGTTATCCCCTGTGTTTGTACATTGTCACCCTTTGAATCTTGTTTGCCATCATTTCTCTGCAGCTCAGGGGTCGGTATTTGAGGGTCTGAGAGGGTAAGATATTTTTCCTCACCAGATATGTTCTTCTCCGTCGCTTCTGCTTTAATGATCAGAACTTCTTCCGTCAGTACAACTGTCTGTACGTCCTCTTTTACTTCATCCCTTTCACTTTCTGCAGTGAGGATGTTCAGTGGTCCCTCCCTAACTCTATAATTCTCTTCAGGTTCCAAACCTACCTCCATTTTGCTGTTATACTCCTCTTTAACTAGGTTTGAATCTGATGAAGAGGGTGATTTAGTTACAGTAACATTTCCATCTTTCACTCTTGCCCTCTTTGCTGGTGGTCCCTTTCTACTACTGTAGCACTGGTCAAACATGGCAAAATCTCGCTTCCTTTGCACGGTTTTCCTTCTGGTTGAAGCATCGTCGGCAGGTGTTGCTATAGCAGCAAGGACTTCTTGGCGACGTCGGGAGCGGGTGTTAGGTGACTTGGGCTCTTTACTATCATGCCGATTGAACAGCTCACTGAGATTGTAATCACTAGCACTGCCTGTATGAAGCACGGTGGTGATAATTTCAGTCAAATGAGCGTCAGCCTGACACTGCAGGTCCTGACTGGTTGAGGCGTACTGTTGCTTCTCCCTTTCAGAGACATTAACAGCTGTTGCAACCAGAGGTGGCTCCTTCTCTATAGGTCCGATTGTCTCCAGTTTCTCACTGAAGCGATTCACAACGTCTTGCAGTGAAGTCCCACTTGGGTTCTGCTCAGCCTGACTACTTCTTGGGTTTCTATAGTCTCGCTCCCCTTTTGCAGCTGTATCCACATCTGCTTCTTGGTGGCTTGTATTCACGAGACCATCTTTAACCATTGGGTCAACTTCCTCCTCTTGTCTATGGTGAAGGAGGGAGGGTGGCTTTTCATCAGTTTTCTTATTGATGTCTAAGGGGATAGGGGACAGAGGAGGAGGAGAGGGGCTCTGCTCTCTCTTCAAGACAGGACAAGGGGGATCCCCATCTCCAACCCCTCTTTCTATTGTGTCCCTGAACGGCATCAGACAGGCTTTGTTTGAACAACAGGGGCAACAGTGGGGGTTGTGTTGGTTACAGCAGATCGATGAGGAAGGGAATAAGCTAGAGGAGGGAGTGCACAGTGAAGGGGATTTGGATAACGAAGGAGAGGATGCAAATGAACACACCATGTTGTCGATACGACCTACAGCAAGGCTTTGGCAGGAAATGCAGCACAGCCTCTTGGGGCACAGAACAGTGTAGGTTTCCATCCTACACCTCTGCACACAGCAGTAGCTGGAGCACAGAGGAGCGTCACTTTTACAGTCTGTTAAAGGGTAGTGGTGGATGCTACGGTTGGACTTGGAGTCTCCTGGACGACACATTGTGCTGCCATGACCTTGATTATCCCAATCAATTAAAGGGCAGTAGGGGCTGCTGTTACGGCCTTTACAGTCACTAAATGGGACTGTATTAGGGCTAACAATATCCTGTGGGCTTACGCCACAGTGACAGCAGTGAGATTCAGTTTGGCCTTCAGGTCTGTGATTAAGGAGCAACAGCAATTTTTCCTGGCGCGCCAGCTTGAGGATCTGGTAGAGTAGAGAGCGGTGTGCTGAGCAGAGCGAGCTGAGAACAGCACCCAATGCAGAGCTCTGAAGAGTCCCTCGCTGTCCCAGATCACCCAATTCTTCCGCACATGATGGCAGCAGGGAGCTAGAGGCAAAAATAAAAAGATTGGAGTTTTATTCATAGTGGAGCCAAGTTTAAAAGGACAAACAACACATACATACTCACACAGACTAACAGGTCTGATTATGTTGTGAGCAACACTATAATACACTTTATATTGTGTTATTCCCAGCATGGTCTAGTACACCATCTGCACTTAATTTTAATGTAAATATTCTGTAATCTTCTGGCCTGTTTAGTGAGGCTATCATTTTTGGACTTTAGCGGCAGAACCAAGAAAGACACTCCAGCAGACACCTATTCACCACACTCACAAACTTATCCATGCACTATCATGTTGAACTATGTCCCATCTATAAATTAATTTGACAAGTTTTTATTATTGCTGCATTATAAAAGTTGTTTGCAGCCCACTGCATTGTCTACATTTGCTAACATCATCAGAATAACACCGGAGTAAACATTTTGAAAACCACACAAAGTGAGTGCCTTGTGCTACATACACAGCCGCTTGTATTAGACTGTAACAATTAAAAGGAAGCGAGTGTCCTCGTGAACTGTTAATAATCTGCAAGACCCTGAAACAAATCATGATGTTAGTAAAATGATGACAGCTGGCCACTGATTAAAGAACTGTTTTATTGACGAGTTGCTGAAGGCAAACCATAACATTCCGCTGAAAGCAGAAGGAACGATTGTAGAACGCTTCAAACTAAATGTTAACTTCAACAGCGACAAAACTAACTGCTCAAAAAAACCTCTGATCTTCAAATCAACAGTTAAATCAGGTTCTGTGAGTGATTAGTTTCACTAGAAAAACAAGTAATTGATTTTAATATCATTAAACTAGCTTAAATGTTTAATTATGGATAATATGTCCAAGAATTGAAGTGCTGTATAAGTCCAGCCCTGGTCAGGGTTCAACTGGACTGGATGCAGTAGAAGTGGGTTACATTCTATAGTGTTACTGTTACCAAATGTTTGATTCTTCTTCTGTTTTTTTTGTTTTTTTTGAAATCACTTAAATAATTTAATCTCAACATCAGCACTAAACAACCACAATAGTCAAGGGTGTCCCTTTAGCACTAAACAAATGATATGTGCTAACATTTAAAAGCATTCATGCAGCAATACACACTTCACATTTCATCAGAGTGCCCGATTACAAATCAATAGCTACAATGAACTAGTAAAATTACAATCAATAAATAAGTAGGCAGCAACAACACAATAAAAAGGCTTCTTATAAATCATAGTGCAATAATTGATTGATGCATAAATAGCAGATTTTTTGTTCAGTCCTTTCAAAGATTCACCAGCAGTTCAGTCCAAAAGAAACTAGAAATGCCTTAAGCTTGAAAACAAGCCCCGGTGTGTTCCCAGAATACACTGCAGTGAAACTTATACAATGAAAGACTTTTTCTGTTTCTCAAGAGGTGTTTAGGCTTGTTCACAAACGGGCTCTTTGATATAAATAGCAGATCATTCCCAGAGTAGACACATCATGCTGCACTGTGCTGTAGCCCTAGACACAGGCACTGTGTACTGTTAAGAGTGGACACATTCAGGAGCGCACACATCAGTGTTTGTATAGTTGCCAAAGTTACAAAAGGTTGAAATGCCAAAACAACCTGACCAAAAAACACGGTTACCATTAGCCTTAAAAATGACAAATAACACATACAAAGATAACCGACAAGGACAAATACTTGCACCCAGAGTCTCTGCTTCCTGGTGCAGACTAACAACATGGCACACCTCCTGCAGATGCCACATGGCAGAATTCCAACCGTATAAAAAGAAAAGAAATCTTTCACAACAAAACGGCCGACTGACTGTATAATAATTGACTTGACAGAAGTGTAAGTGTTGATGATGGCAATGCATTTACACCTATGTTCTTTTTTCCTTGAGAGACAAACATCTCCCTAAGCTAAAACCCAGAAACCTGACACGCGGCTGTAGGCAGATTAAGTTCAGAGGTATATATGTGGCAACGAGGTTAGATAGAAATAGAGAGAAATAGAGAGAGAGACAGACAGGCAGACATCACAATAAAACAAATCAAGCAGCTTTGTGTGGGTAACCCTGAACTGCTGCTTTGGTAGCAGCACTGTTAATGGAAATAGGCCCATCTCAGTGGCAGACACAGTGTAGACGCAACATTTAGCATTTCCCCAGACGCATACAGAGAAGCCTGTGAGCCTCGCGCTGAATCAAGTCATTGTCCCACCAAAAAAACTACTGGAACCTCCAGTAACCGACAAAAACAACCGCCGCCAACGTTTAACCCGCGGCTCCACACATTACAATACGTGTCGCCTTTGGAATTTCGGCTCGTTGAAACAGGCTTGTTGTAGCTCCGCCTCTTTGTCCCAGGGGAAACGCTCCGGTAAAAGTAACGTTCTAAGCAGCAGTCATGTATGAGGTTTACAGTAATACAGCTACCGTAGCAGAATCAGTACATATCTGTGGTAATAAAAGAGCATCTTTTTACAAACGCAACACATACACAATAACATACATTTTCCCAAGCTTATCAGCGCACATTAGAAAACATGCTGCACAGTTGCATTCCAACTACACCCGATACAATGTTCAGACTAGCTTAGCACAAATAGAGAGGAGAACTATGCGGACATAAAAATGGCTTTCTCAAGCTAATCTCTTCAACGGAAAAAAACTCAAAAGCAGGTTGTAGCCACCACAGCGGATTATACTGTACAATCTCCCTGTTTGCAGAGGTGTCTAGCGATAGCAAAGAGTTTTTAATCTGTTATAATGGCTCTAAGTCACTTCAGTGGCCTAGGTAAAATACCCAGAGAGCGATAGAAAGCTGCAAATGACAATCATCAATGCTCCATTAAGAGGGAGCTTAAGAATTGAAACCTGAATAACCTAATAATCTAACAGCTAGCAAACGTGAGAGTCACACTTTGTTTCTCAGCTCTACGGGGTCCACCAGTGTGTTCCTCACACTCCATCCCGGGCAGTCTGGTGGGCAACAATCAATGTCAGTTTTTCTCTTTGAAGAAAAACTAAATCACAGAGACATGAAAACAAAGTTAGGAACTTCCTCAAGGTCTTGAAGGTGTTATTTTATCCTGTTGAAACCCCCTAACAAGACCAAAGCCAACCACTGACTTATCCTGAATAGTACGGTCTGTGTAGCCACTGATACAGCAGACACCTCTGTGCCTTTGAACTCCACTGTCATCCAAGAAGGACTGTAAACATACAATCTAATGTGCACCCTGTAGCACAGGGCACAGTGGAATATGATCGGTTGAAAAAGTCGTGGCCAAAAGCAGCAAAGTCAGTCATACCCGATGAACGACAGAAATACTACTTTATCGCATTTTGTGCCAACAATCAGCCACTTTTCCTACCAAAAAATGTAAAAATATCCGGCTTTGGCTACACAGACAATACAGGTTAGTAGGATAAATATTCAGTTTGGGTCTTGGTCTTTCAGTGGGATTTGTTGATAAGTGTAAGCAGATAATATAAAGCGAGCCATGTCCTTTAGGATCTTTTAGCTTTAATGATAACAACTGAAGCTTAACTTGGGCAGCCCCCTAAAAGCTGCAATGGGCACCGCTGGACCTCGTAGCCGCTCTGATCGCAGCCCAGGACTGAGCTGGAGAAACACAGCTGAAAGTATGGCTGTCACGTTACAGACACAGAGTTAAAAGACCTGAATATCAATATCCATATATATTTTGTAAAGGCATGTGTTGTGTTAAACAAGTGTCTCCAGAAAACATGTATCTTGTCAAAGGTGATGAGTTCAAGTGTTGAGGAGTTCTAGAGGCGTTCTGTGGTCTAGAACATCTTAGCGTCAGCAGCTGAGACGAGAGTCCCTGAGTTAGTGGAACCGGTCATAGTACCAGAACCAGACGAGTTGGAATTGGACGAGCAAAAGATGGCAGATTTCTTCTTGGGCGGGTTCTTCAGTGTTCCAGTACGCTCTTTGACTTTGTATTCCAGTGTGCTATGGGGCACCCCGTAAACCCCCTGGGCCTTGGACACGCTCATGCGACCTCCCATCACCATGGTGATGGCCTCCTCTAACAGGTCGTGGTCGTACTGCCGGTATCTCCCGCGCTTCTTTCTCGGTTGCTTGTCTTTATCCCGGACGCCTCCCCCGTCTTCTGAATCATCCAGTGAAGACCCGCGTGGTCCCAGGCGATGAGGTGACTGGTTGGCACTGCCCGGACAGCCGTGTGGTAAGATAGGAGGTCTGAGTTTGAAGAGGGTCGAAGGTCTCGCGGTAGCTGTCGATGAACTGCCGAAACCCTCCATTGATGAGGTACGTTGATTTAGGTTGTCTGCCACGCTGCCATTCTCAGCTGGGATGGACCTGTTGTGGTCGGACAAGGAGCGGACCTGAGGAATACGCAGGGAGGTGGGAGGCTCCAGACTGGGAGTGGGGCTTGCTGGGGGCTGGAGAGCATCCCTGAGCTGGGGGAACGAGTGGGGGAGGGTTTTCTGCAGACCGCTCGGCTGGTAAAAGGTAAGAGAGGAAGAGGGGAAACTCAAGTCTCCGTTCTCCTCCGCAGCTCCTCCGATTTCTGCCCGCTCCGCCCACGCTGCCACCTTCTGCAGAACAAGACGGGCTTCGCCGCCCAACATTGACGACATCACATTATATGATGTCACTTCATCCCTGAAATCTCTGCTTCCTGGTGCAAGTTGATGTAGTATCCCCAGCCTTCCCTCAGCCCAGCCGCCCAGACCTCGCCTCAGGGTGTGAAGGGGTATCCCATAAAGCAATGCGGCCCGCTGCTCCTGCAGCCTCCCAGAACGAATATCCTTCAAGGCCTTGGACAGCAACCCCTCAGACAGCTCCAAGCTCCTCTCAATGTACTGCCTGCGCTGCCTCCTAGGGATGGGAGGACCAAACAGCAGGGTCAGGATGGAGGTGATGGAGGGACTTTTGGCATAGGGGACAGGGGGGGTGCAGAGCGAGGGGTCCACTCCTTTATGCCTTGTGTTGGTAACATCACTGCGACTGTTATGTTTCATGTCTGTCTGTTCTCACACACATTCTTTGTGTGTGGCAAAGCCTCTTCACGTCCAGGTGGGACAGTCTGTGAATGGCTGGGGTTACTTTGGCGCTCACACACGCATGCAACCCTTGTAGTTTTGTGATATCCTTCAGCGAGAGTCCTACATGCTTGAAGGTTGAATTATCAAACTCATCACAACCGGATAAGTAAAAAAAAGGAGGTGAAATCGTTATGAGGTAATGCAGTGTTCTCCTCATTGTACAATGCTGAGCTGTTGGCAAATGTTATAACACGGTGCCATTGCTGTGACGTTACCGCTCAAGAGATAAAAGAGTCAACCCCATAGAACCAAAACACCGAACACAAGCTAGCTCCTCATAATGACTAGAGAGGAACTGATCAATGCAGTGCCAAACGACAGAAACACAACACAGTGTTGATGCTAACCCTCCAGTCCTTGTCATGCTACACACCTTAAAGTACATTTAGTAGACAATAATGCTGGACTCAGTCAAAAATGGGGATTTCCTCACATTTAAAGTCATGTTTAAGGCTACATCCACACCAATACGTTTTCGTTTTAAAATGTATAACTCTTGCTACATTAAGGACTAGCATCCACACTATTCCGGCGTTTTAGTTTGAAAACAGTGCGATTGTCTTTTAGTCTGGATGGGCAGAAACGGACACCGTTGAAAACGATGACGCAACACCCACGTTCGCTTCTTGATTGGGTCTCATCAGTCACGACAAGTCCTTCCCAGATTCGTCACGCACCTATCATTTGACCCTTTCCCAGAAGAAAAAGGACATCACCCTTGATTACCAAGCGACGACCAGTGGTTAATTTAAACATGGATAACAAATCACAGGGGCGGCCGACATTGTTGTCTATGCTAGCAGCTGTTGTGCAGTTAAATTCTACATTTTATCATGCTACGACTGCCGACACGCGCAGGAGGCAAGCTATTTCTCGAGGGATTTTCTAGCTGCGCACCCAGCGGCGGTATCAGCCCCGCAGAGAGGGTGATGGACATAAAATGGAGGACTTTTCTTTTGTTATCTATGCTTATTTTCTTCTGCACAACTATTGTGAATGAAGAAAAGCATAAAAGCTCTCCAGTATGACGGGGGCTTCCAGCCACTAGGCAGATTTACGAGCGTGAGCACGGACAACAACAGAACCGAGGGAAAACAAGTGAAACCTGTGTTGACTCAGTTTCTAGACCCATAATATCGTAAACTGTCTGTTTGAGTGTGTGTGTGGGAAATATAGAAGACCATAAGTATCAAACAAGACCTTATACTATAGGAGGCAAAATAATACGCCGTTGTATTTTCTGTTACTAAGCAACCAACCGCAGAGTGGACAATCTGCTTTCCACCGGCACTACATGCCCAGTGTTCGTGAATGGTCATGTGACATGCATTTTCAGGCGAGTTGGTATAGACAGCGATTATTTCTAGAGTGGTACTTCAGCACTCGTGTGTACCGAGATCATTTTCGCTTTAGTGTGGATGTAGGCTTCGTCACGCTGGGTTTGGACAAAAACGCCAAGTTCACGTAAATGTAATATTGTATTCAAGTAGAACACCCAGTTTTAACTAATAGCTTCCACAAGGTCAAACACCACTAACATTCATAGCCAGAGGAAATCCAACAATACAAAGAAACTCTTACCCTGAGGCTTTGTGATTAGATGGTGAATTTGCTGAGCCGGCAGAGTTCCTGTTGGAGAGGTCGAGCACGCCATCTGTTACAAGAAGAATTCATTTGAACTGGTTTGAGTTGCAGTGCTTTGATACCTTCAGTGGTACCACATCAACGTCACCATCTAAAAACTTTAGAAGCTAGAAACATCTCTTCAATGGCTTTAAATTGAGAATCGGTTTGATGCTTTCCCTACCTGGGTCACTTTCACTCTCTTTCTCCTCCCCAGTTCGGCTCACTGTGAGGTCCAGAGGGGCGTCGGATGGTTGTGACAAAGGTGATGAGGTCCTTGTTGTAACACCATTTGTACTGGTGTGGAGTAGGCACTTGGATGAGTACTCCAAGGCAAACTGATGTATCATCTTCTTCATGAGCTCCTGAGCAACCGGAGGGATGTTGGTATCACAGCCCAGGGACACATCTAATGAAGAAGGAACAGGTGCAATAGAAATAAGAACAAGACTGGATAAACAAGCAGGATTTCGGTTATTCTTATAGGACAATATAAGAGAGGACGTTTTGTTCTGTTTTTTATCCTCACGGAGAAGTTTTTCTGATATCTCGCTTTCAGGAATCTATTGTGACACAAATCTCTCCGGGTCCCAACACGTTAGCAGCAAAAGCAACACGTGTCTGCAAAATTGTATAACTTACAGGGCAATATATTAGGAGGTCAAGTATCAAGAGTTGGGAAAACATCCATCATTCAAACTTTAAAATATGCCTTTTGTTTACACCCTGGTAGAGGTGGGCAATATGTAGGAATCCACCGATATCTTTTCTTCTGACCAAGGACAAGTACTAAGATTTGGGTAGTTACAGATACCGATAGAGTGTTGTTTGCAGTAGAGATGTTAACGATTAAACATTTAACCGTGCTATCAGTTAAACAGTTAAAAACTCACAGCCCACATTAAGAGAGCCTTGGCCGGAGTTGTTGCTAACTTCGGGGTTAAAGTCCTTCACTTTAGTCATCAGCTAGCTGACGAGCAAGACATGAGAGCTTGGCTTGGCTCTTGAGTTGAAGCATTTATTCACCAAAATAAAGTGCATGTTACTGCTGACTTCATGCTCCTGATCACATTCACGCTCCCTCTCGTGATGGACCCCTTGGACCGAACTCTCCCATTAAAGGGATAATGCAACTTAGCTGTATAGCGACTATTTACTGTGTATACTTCAGAGGAAAACTGTGTAGTACTACATTTGCTTAACAGAAAAATGTTACTGGTTACGTTGCAGATTTGACTGCCAAAATATAACAATTAAAATATGATGCATTATAATTGATTAAACAATCCCGCAGCATATTGGAATTGAAAGCTCCACCTTGAACAGAGGTTAAGTAAACTTAAGTTTATGTGCAGATATGGCGTCCCTTTAACTTTTCACTTAAACTAAACACTTGAATGCAGTAGTTACACTATTACTAGTTTTACTTAAGAACCATTTTTCAGTACTTCTTCTACCACTGCTAACACCAACATTCCTAGTTAGAGAAAAGGTGGAAATAAGCCAGACAGTGTTTGCCTGGGGCCCTCAAAACACTAAATCCAGCCTCGAAAAACACACCCAGGTTGAGGTTACTCACGATCACAAACACTGCTGGAATAAACTTGGCGGGTATAAATTCCAAACATGCGTTTTAGTCGCTTGCTTGACAAAACCCTCGCAGTTATAAAGTAGAGCATGGATTTAATTAGCGGAGGTATTTTGCTGGCCATAACATTATTATTATTATAAGTTAGTATCAGGTCTTACAGCGGGGACAAAAACACACCCAAGTTGTGCAAGTAGCACTGCCTGCAGCATCAGTAAATATACTCTTAGCCGAGCTATTCATTTCAAAATTAGTTTAGGATTAGTTGCTTGCTTTGACAGAACCACCTGCGGTCATAAAGTAGAGCATGGATTTAATGAGCGCAGGTAAACTATGATATATTATACGTTGGTATGGCAAAAACGCACACAGTTTGAGCAGCAATGGCAGAGTGGCTCGGCTCCTGTAGGCTATCCGCTCGTGCTCGCTGACTCCGGGGACGTGAAGAAAAGACGGGTTGTAACGTTATCCAGCATTAATGTAGCATTCAGCCAGACTGATCTGCAGTCACTGAGCCGCTTATAATATATAATTATTAACTACTGATGCCAAGTATTGTTTTCATTTATTTCCTCATCATTTATACGTACACGTTGTATTAGGACACTATGGGCAATGATGTAATTTAATGATCAGGACTGTTAATGACAATACTAGATTTTTGTTTAATTTTTGCTTTGATGTGATGTGTACTTTGATTTACTAGGAAGGAACTTTGCTGGATTAGCCACATTCCTGTCTGGTTTTCCATTAATTATCATAACACCATATAATCTAAGTATGAAGCAAGAAACCTCCGTCTGGATGTGGGTGTTGCTTTGCATATCTCGAGAACTGTTCAGCTGATCTCCTTCAAACTTGGCGGGTGTATTGCTGGGGACCGAAGGACGTGCAGTGTTGAAGTTGTTAGGATTTGGACACGCGTCACGTTCAACATTATTGAACTTTGAATAAACAAGCTAACAAAGATCTGTGCAGTAGTGGGGGGGCCCTTCCTAACGGGCACGCAATCTGAACAGCAACGTCCCAAACATTTTCCGGTGAATCCTTGGGATTACTTCAAGGACCCCCGGCCACATTTATGGGAACTCTTGAGCTAGAATATATTCAAGGAATTGTCCCCTGATGAAGTGTTGACCAAAGCCTGGGTTATCCAGAGGAACAAAGACACTGTGCGTGTTTTGTATTAATTTAATTCACATCCACGGCAGCAGCCAGGTTAGAAAAGGATATCTCATAAAACCGAAACTAGTTGTATAGCAATAATGGGATTTGCCAATTTGTTCAATGCTCCACAAGGCGAAACAGAGTCTTGATTCACCTTTTTTGTGAAACACAGCTTGGAGGATCCTGTGCGCTGATTGGCTGCTCTCAGAGATGGTTGGAGCCGGACAGGGAGAGTAATCAGAGGGGGAGGAGAGGGGCGACGTGGCTGCAGGCAGATGATCCTACAAGAGAAAAAAGGGAAAAAAGTTACATCACTGACATATATCCCATGACACTCTATTTAACATCAAACAATATAATTAGAACAACTGTCAACAGCCACGGGTAACTTGAATAGGCTTGTCTAAAGGCAAATTACAACAGAATGTGTGGATTATCTTGACTTAAACAATCCTTACACTGCTGAGTTTGTCCAGGGAAAGGCTGCAGAACGAACATTGAGAGCAATTTGTTTCCGAGGACCAGTCGTCCACCTCTTCAGGTTCACAGTCTGAAAGACACAATAACATCAACAAATGAGGGTACATAAAGGATCAAATAGCCCCGTGCAGTGGTCACAATACAGAATTTGACAAAAGGCTGTAGTGGTTCCCAAACTGGATCATCACACCAATTTTATGCGAAGAGAATACTTTAAATGATAGTCATATTGTCCCGACAATAATAAGAAAATATATACCGCAAAACAACATATACGCTTCAGCCAAGATTTTGCTGTATGGTGTACAGCAGGCAACACTTACAGCGAAAATCTCGCACTTGAGAACATACTTTAAACAGGTGTGCCGGATCGCAAACTCTGAATGTGAGATAACCGAAATGTGCAGGATTTTTTGGTTCTTTCACGACATGAATTATACTATTCTAAATATATCTGGTTGTAGCTGACAATTGTGGGCAGAAAGGTTGCAAATCAAAGAGCAGGATGGTGTCATTACAATATTGGATTGGTTATTTTATCTATGAATGGTCTCTCAATTGAACTTCTAGAAAATGTATTATAATATACAGATATATATATATATACACGTATGTATATATATATGTATACGTATGCATATATATACGTATATATGTATGCATATATATACATATATGTATACATATATATTTTAATTGACAACTGGTTGCAAGTGCTAGTGGCCTGTGATGGCGAGCTACAAGCTAATGCCGATAGTCGAGCTACTGCGAGTAAAGAGTGGTGAATGTCCCCGTCAGATGTAACTGATGAAGTTGCAATGATCCGACATGCCGCATTTCAAAGCGGACTTGATGGGAATCAACTTAGCTGCGATACATTTTGCAATTAATTACACATTTTATATCAATTACAATTCATTTACATTGTCTGTACCTGAAGTAAGCGTACATATTTTGACTGAAAGCCCAAAAAAGAGCATCAAAAATCTGATTTCATCATATCCATAAGAGGTAATATTATGACAACAACTTGGGACCAAATGATGGTATTGCCACTCAATGGGCAATGATGCACAGGGCAACATTTTGGGCTGTCCCCACCGGTGCTTTTTTCCCCCAACACTAAATGGCTGTGCGCCTAGGTTCTAGGGTCAGTTTCATCTAAATCCAGCATCTTTATCTATGCTATCCAGGCGTATGCCCTTGTTAATTAAATGCATTTTTGTTTAACTTATTATCTTTAAGTGGGAGGAATTAGGGGCCAGTGTGCCATGAACCTCTCGTCTAGCGTTGGGTTAAAGTTTGATACAATGCTGCCTTCTTAAATGAGGAGCAAGGTTGGTGGTGCCACTGGTATGTTTTTAATGATATAAATGCATGTTTATACGGCAACTGTTTTATAAATATTTCCTTTGTTGTTTAACTGGCTAGCAGGACACTGGACAGAGTGGAGGTCTAAACATTTCTACCACGGGGGGGGGCTTTTTAAAAACATGGGTAAAGTGAAGTTGGTATGTGCTTACAGGTTCTAGCTGGTGAGGAGAGGGTCACACATGCACAGGGGACTAGTTTAGAGGTGAAATAGATTTACAGTTCCATGCCAGATAATTTAAACCATGTGTTCTTACCATAGGGTCAGATGGGCTGTGTGAGTATGGGCATCATCGATGTAAAAATGGCTGTTTAATAAGCCATAATAATAAGTGGGGGAGGGGTACAATTGGATCATCTATCCATTATTCTAGAGATAAATGAATCTCAGTATAGAAGAATATCTCACCATTCTGTAGCTGTGAGTCCCACTTTAAAAACAACCACGGTAACATTATATAAACGCAATACTAAATGTATGTTTACAGTGACTCAACCCACCTACACGGTCCTACAGCCACACATACTCACTATGGAACTCAATTTAGTGCATCTGAAAATGGACAAATGCTGATTGCTACAGACAGGGTTGAGAAATAATTTCTTTGTTGGGAATAAATATAAAATACAACTATGATTACACAAAGTGATGAAGACTTTTTTTTAATGCACACACAAAAACCCACCATCAAACAAACTGAGGTCCCTCAGCAGCAGTGGGCCATAGATTCCCTCCAGAATGCTTTCGAACCCTGCAAGACAAATCGAACAGAGACCATCCTTCAGTACTGACATGGACAAGATATTGTTGTTTTTCTCCGAGAGCCAAACTAGACCAGTTTGACGGCAACAACACAGATTCTCATCTGCCATAGACAGCTGTCACCGACACATGTAATGTTTAATAAAGAGCCCATGTCATCATTTATTAAGCAAAACAAACAATTCATATGATCCGTGAATGGTAGTAACATTAGGATTTCCATTTGGTTGTTGGTTTAGTGCATTCAGATGTAATGTCACTGTGCTTAAACATCACAAAGCAAAAGAAATCCAGCTAGCTTCGGGTGAACTAGCCTAAGGTTACCGGTTTCTGTAGCATAAAAACAACGTTCAAAATAGCAAACGGTACGAGGAGAAACGTCACAGGAGACCGCTGAAACGTCCGCTTTTCTCATAGTGCACTGACATTAGAAGCCCGAACATTGCAACAATCCCCTCCCCCAAAATAACAGCAACAGCGGTAATGTTAGCATAGCATGTTAGCCGGGCATTAGCATAGCCAACATATATGTCAATAAACAAATTTAGCCAACGTTGGAATTATCGGTTGGCTACAAATATATGATACGCATTAATACTACATGGACGATATCATCTCAGTCATGTAACGAAATCTGACTGAGCTAGCACCGGCGGATAGGAAGCTAGCTTAGAGGGACAAAGAAAAAGGAGCCAACTCGAAGGGCTAGCCAGCTGGTAAATATTAGCCTGCCAGCTTAACTTAACTGCTAACGTTGGCCACCTATGGAGTCAGGCTACTAGCTAGCTTTTAGTTCGCTAGCCTAAGCTAGCAATCAAACACAGATAGGGATAGCGATCTCTCAGCTACCGGGCGAAATCACTTTGAAGCTCGTTGGGGTTTTTTTTCTCACAAAATACGAAACTGCAAGTGGATCATACCGACGCAGTGTATCAATTTGTGTCGCCAAGAATCAAGTTCCCGCCGAAACCCTTTCCTTTCGCCCGTGCATTTGCAGCACTGCACGGTCGCCATTCTGCTGCGTCCTTCCCCCCTCTCTCTCCCTCCGTCTGAGCGACAGGAAGCGGCTGTGAACGGTCTACAGCTGCAGCACTCGGCTGTCATGCTCACGGCTCACCGCTAGAGGGAGATTAGCTTTAGATAACATTGGGCGGTTTTTTGCCCTAAATTTGGTCTCGCGGATAAAACAGACTCCCATTTTCTTAAACTGTTGAAATATTATTTTTCAGTGACTTCAGTAAACTGCCTTAACTTGTCTGTTGTGTCTGTGTTATGTGTCATTCCATGAAACCAAACCAAAGTTATTGTGGCATGCTCTGTTAATTGCATACTGGCGTCCCTGTGTTAAATGTTACTTTGGTAAAATGACGGACAAATTAGGCTATCAGTTATTCATCAGGTTTACCAGAACTCATATATATCCCTGGGGAGTACTGAATAAAGGTTTTTAATATATATATAGTTTTAACCAGCCAATGATAAGAAAGCAGTTCTGTAAAATCATCTGGGGTACTGATAAAACCAATAAGACTAAAATAAGAATAAAGCCAAACTTGAATGTTATCACTCTGTCAACCCAAATCTAAGTCATTTCTAAGCAGATGCTGACAGTCTGAACGGACTGGCTGCTTCTCCCCAGTGCCGCCACGTGAGGGCAGCAGAGAACTTCACATTCTCTCAGAATGCATCCATTGGGTCCCGTGTGCATCACGATTTTGGCATAAACACAGGGTCGGACGAGAAGTAACTCGATGATACGGTCTTCATTCATCCTGTTCTCCAAAACCATAGGAATATAGTTTCTCTGTTTGCATGCAGTCGACAGGGCAGCCAAGCCCCAGACCCGTTAGGTGCCCCACATGCCCCAGTTTCATTGTTTGACAATTTGTCTGTAACAATTGTAATTAACAACAGATTTAATGGGATTATGCACCACAAAATCACATTATCCTCTTAGATAATGCACTTTAATGTCCGTCTTGCATTATCTGGGGGTCCTTTCTTGAAAAGGGGCCATGGCATAGCTTTGTTTTTTGAATATGTGTATTATTTCAGTTGGAAGCATGTTTAAATGGCACGTATTACCAAATCAATTAATGAAATTACACAAATTGACACACACGCACGGCCAACCTGGGGCCTGGTAATCCTCAAAATATAATTCAAATATAACACTTGTATTCTTTTTGTTGCACTGTTGTGTACACGAATGCACAGAGAGTTGGCAGCACAGGCTTGTTTGCCCCCCATTTCTGCCCCAGGGCCTCCTGACAGGTCAATCTTGCTATGCGTCCCGCAACGGTATGAGAACAACCAAACAGGAAAAGGGGTTCATGGAGAGAGTGTGAGTGACAAAGTGAGGGAGAGAGAGGAGGGGGAGGCCGATCGGACAACATATGGCGTCGAGTTATAACGAGCTATGGAGGGTGGTAGAAGCAGATAGGGAGATGAGATTCAATGTCGAGCTTGGAGGTGGCACGTGTAACAGGCCCAGGTAGAATTCATTTACGCGCGGCAATTTACGGTGCAGTTGCCGTGGAGATGAAAGGCGGCGGCGGCCTGGTGGACTCGCGCTTCTGGGCCAGAGCGTGACCAACAGCACACAGCCCAGCGTGCCCCCGGGAGAGAGAGACGATTACGCGCAGGGTCACCACAATGCTGTGTGTGTGTGTGTGTGTGTGTGTGTGTGTGTGTGTGTGTTTGAATGCACGTGTGTTTAAGTAAAGTGTATAACAGTGCAGTGTGACGGCGTGCGCATTGACTGATCAGAAAATGAGAGGCAGCTTAGCACTGAGGTGGTGGTCCCGCTGCTGCGGCCCAGAGGAACTTTTAACACCTCAGCCACCAACATATCTCATTACTGCACACACCACGCAGTTCTAAATGCAGTTAGGGCCAGTCAGAGGTGTGTGTGAGTGTGTGTGTGTGTGTGTGTGTGTGAGAGAGAGCCCAAACTGGATCTTGTTATGTCGTGCAGAAGAAGGGGGCAACAGTAGCTAAACATTATGGTCCGCCTCTGTTTCACTCCCTCATCGAGTCCAAACACAACAGCCAGAAATAGACTGTGTTTGACAAACAAGCAGGTATTGGATGTAGCCACGGGATGGAGGAATCAGGAGAGCTCATTACTCTCATCTCGGTTAACTCACGCCCTCAGAATAACCGAGGCGAGATGAGGACCAAACCGTCCATCTTTCCACTTCTCCATCATCTCAGTTTCCCTGTGTTCCCTGAAGAGGGCGGTGTGGAGGACGCTCGTTAAAAAACACGTTCTGTCTATTAAATTTACAGGTGCATTCCATAGACCCAATGTTTTTTAGTTTTTTTTGTAAAGAAGATTAGAACCAGCTCTTATGCCACAAAAGAAACACCTCACTTCTTTAATATAAAGAGGATTTAGCTGTTAGTGGGGTTATTATTGTTCACACTAACAATTAAAGTGACTCGGCGCGCTGGCTCGCTCGGCCCTCGAACCAACTGTGATGCATAGTTCCCGTATTTATTTTTTTCTGGTTTAACATCGTCCTAAATTCAAGACGTCTCGCTGAGTTTACTGCGCTGTAAGTGAAGGGGTAGAAAACTTTCACATTTATGTATGAGACCCCCAAAGTCTCAGGTAGATTTGACTTAACAGTCCCGTGGTGCGCACAAGCCAGTGGGGATCACGTTTAATTAGATGGGGCTTGATAAAGGAGAAAAAGGCTCCACTAAGGCTTTACGTCCAAAAGCTATAGGCCTACACCTTTTTCTAAGGTGGTGATTTGTGACAGTTGATGGACACATGCTATGTGTGCTAATACTCGGATCCAATGTGTTTAATCATTTGTACGTCGAATGAGTCATTATGTAATTCCTGACACGGCGCAGACCCTCACCACACTTTTTAGCGGGGCCCTCTCAAATGGGATTTCCAAAAAAAATCACTTATTCAACCCGCTTTTAAAGGCTTGGCATTGTTTTTATGAAAACATACGAGGAGGGTGGGGTGTGTGTGGGGTGGTTATGAATGAAGAAAATAAATATGGAAATGATTACCTGGGCGTTTTTTTTTTATTTTTGAGTGTGCGCATGTGCAGAAGGCCTGTATTGTGCACGTGTGTGTGTTTGTGTGAGAGGTTAGAGATCAGCGTTATGGTTGGACCGTGGCCACTGTGATTACCACAGAGGTGCAGCATTCCCGTCCCTATATAGAATCCAGCGTGAAACCCTCACTTCAGCTTTCCCATGTCCACACACGGCTCCGCTCGCCGTTGTGCAAAGACATCTGTTTAGAATTCCTTGGCTTTAAATGAGAGGTGGTGATCGCCGTGTGGCAGGGTATTATTGATTTGTGATAGAGCCTCACTATACATTCCTTTATAAGACTCCACCAATACCTTCACATAACAGATATGTGTGTGTGTGTGTGTGTGTGTGTGTGTGTGTGTGTGTGTGTGGATGCACACGCAGAGACGTGGAGAGCTGCACTGCTGTGCAGGGAGACACCAAGCGGCTGCCGATTTGAAGAACTCTTTCATTGCTGCTGCTCCGTCCAGCTGGTTCCAACTGACCCCCCTTCACTCTTCCTGTCCGTCTGAGCTGTCTGTCTTTGGAGCGTCTGGACAGGCCTTTAGGTAATGACGGGGCTCAGTGAGACGGGTTGTTTTTAGTGGAGGTAAGAGGTAAAACGGGGCTCTCGGGGCTCATGCAGGAGCAGTACGGAGGATTAGCATTAATTCTGCACACAATAAAGCACTCGACTTTGAAGCAACCCTGTGTAAAAATTAGCTTTCCCACAAAACTAAAATGCATTCTGTCCGTCAATGAAGTGAGGAAGTATTTGTTTTTTACACTGTTCAAACCACATTCCTTCATATCACTTTTGTTTTTATCTTGAATGTGGCTACATCCAAATTCAATAACATGATGTTTACAAGTGCAAACAGCTGTGAGCGGCAAATGCTACATCAATAAACACTCTTGCATTCAGCACGATAGTGCTGACAACATGAACTCAAACAGTACTGACAGACAGGAGTGTGTTTGTGTGTCTAATATACAGTTGTGTGAAAAAGTGTTTTCCCCCTTCCTGATTTCTTATCTTTTTGCATGTTTGTCACACTTAAATGTTTCAGATCATCAAACAAATTTAAATATTAGACAAAGATAACACAAGTAAACACAAAATGCAGTTTTTAAATGAAGGTTTTTATTATTAAGGGGGAAAAAAAATCCAAACCTACATGGCCCTCTGTGAAAAAGTGATTGCCCCCCCCTGTTAAAACATAAATTAACTGTGGTTTATCACATCTTTGGAAAGCTGAGTTCAATTTCTCTAGCCACACCCAGGCCTGATTACTGCCACACCTGTTCTCAATCAAGAAATCACTTAAATAGGCCCTGCCTGACAAAGTGAGGTAGACCAAAAGATCCTCAAAAGCTAGACATCATGCTGCGATCCAAAGAAATTCAGGAACAAATGAGAAACAAAGTAATTGAGATCTATCAGTCTGGAAAAGGTTACAAAGCCATTTCTAAAGCTTTGGGACTCCAGTGAACCACAGTGAGAGCCATTATCCACAAATGGCGAAAACATGGAACAGTGGTGAACCTTCACAGGAGTGGCCGGCCGACCAAAATTACCCCAAGAGTGCAGCGACGACTCATCCAAGAGGTCACAAAAGACCCCAGAACAACATCCAAAGAACTGCAGGCCTCACTTGCCTCAATTAAGGTCAGTGTTCATGACTCCACCATAAGAAAGAGACTGGGCAAAAATGGCCTGCATGGCAGAGTTCCAAGACGAAAACCACTGCTGAGCAAAAAGAACATAAAGGCTCGTCTCAGTTTTGCCAGAAAACATCTTGATGATCCCCAAGACTTTTGGGAAAATACTCTGTGGACTGACGAGACAAAAGTTGAACTTTTTGGAAGGTGTATGTCCCATTACATCTGGCGTAAAAGTAACACGGCATTTCAGAAAAGGAACATCATACCAACAGTAAAATATGGTGGTGGTAGTGTGATGGTCTGGGGCTGTTTTGCTGCTTCAGGACCTGGAAGACTTGCTGTGGTAAATG